GACGTTGCTTCACTGGCCCAAGTTGGCACCATCATTGCCCTCTTCCCAGACGAGGCAGATCAGTCGCCGGCTTCTGGAAGGCCGCTCACGGCAGCTGCTGGCTACACACGGTAGCTTATGGCAACCCACTGCAGCAGGGGCTGCAGCCTACACCGTCGCCGGTGACTCACGACAGCCCAGCTCTAGGTTGAGCTGCTGTTCAGCATCTTAGCTATAGAGGGCAGTGTCACTGGCCCTCACATGTGGGATCCGAACCGGGGCCCTCTGGCGTCCCAAGCCAGCTCTTAACCACAGCGCCACTCGGCCGGCCCTGCAATTACGTTTTATTGTGATACATGAGTGATGCCAAAATGCCCCTCCTCCACTGCCCTTATTGGCAAGACCCATGGATTTTCTTTGATTAGAAAGCACCTAGCTCTAGTGCTTGTAATAAAGAATTGAGTCGATTTTTTTAAATTTAATTCAGCATATAAACAGTGCCAGAGGCATCCACATCATTTAATGATAATGGTAGATACCGAGGAAAAGATGGGAACTGTGTGCTCAACCTGAGTCTTAGCATTTACTCCATGGTGCTCTCACAGCCCACAAGCTGACCTGGCACTATAGTGCCAACATGAGGAAAAGGTCCTTACCAAGAAGTTAAAGTAGGGGACATGCTTGGGAATTTTTCTTTAGAAGAGAAATTTACCGTCTTGCTTGCCCTTGACTCATGACCATGTAAAATTAACCTGAGGGACCAAGGTAACCTCAGCTAGAAGAGTCATAACGTGTGCATGGCTGCTGCTGCTGCTGCTGCTTGATGAAATAGTCTGAAATTTCCTTCCCAGGTTTCAAGGCACTAATTGCCCTTATTTGATTATTTTGACCTCAACGGTAGACTTTTTATTACCCTCAGATCTAAGTGTTGTATATCATCACATGTTGATTTAAAGAGACAGTTTCTTCATCCTCACTGCATATACTTATAACATTAATTGGCAACAAGCAATTACCTTTTTCCTTTACTGGATTTGTAAACTGAGGCACAGAAAAATCCAGTATCTTTGCCTGTGTCTCTTCAGAAGGGTAAGGGGAGACCATGCAAACATTCCAAGCCTTGAGAAGCTATTAACTGCATCAGGTCCTGTGCTTATCCAGGAATATTTGGCATTTTCCCCTTCTTGTTTTGAAAAAAAAGTAAAAATAAAAAGAAGGAAAAGCAATTTTAAAAAAAAAGCTGAAGTGATAACTAGTTTTGTTTTTCACTTCATGATCATGCTCCTAGCAGTTTAGAAAAAGTTTCTTTTTTTTAAAACACACATTAAACTATCAAATAGGTTGATCCAAATTGTCCAAATAATCTTCTAGTCCCAGCATGTCTTTTTTTCTCTCATAGAAATTAGGATCATATATTTGTAAATGACTTGCGGAGGAGATGGAAGCAGTCAGTGTAAATGGAGTTTCTCCAGGTGCTGACGCCTAATCGCTGGGTAATAGCTGTGGACTTGCTGTGAGACCCGCATTATTACAATGTAATCAGAATCCTGTTGCTCTGCTGTTATTGTCAGCCACTTGTGGAATTTTAAAAGCAATAACAATTTTGACTTTAAATCATGGCATTATTAAAGTTATTTTCTTCCCTTGCCTGAACATAGCTATTGATGCTTGTCTTTGAAGGACTTGGCTGTAGTGGAATTCTTTGTTGGGGTCAGAAGAAATGTCTGTTCCGTGACACACTGAGAAACAGAACCACAACCCACATCCATCCATCCCTCCCTTCTTCCCTTCCTTTCCCCTATCTCCCTCCCTCCCTTCCTTTCTTTCTTTTCTTATCGTAGTATCAATACTTGTTTATTTACACTAACAGGTATGATGCCAATACAGATCACTATTAAATGTGGTTAAACCAAAATTTATTTATGTTTGACCAGGGAATTTACTATCAGGAAATTTATTTTTCCAGTTATTATCTTTTGCTCAAGTTGTTAATTATTTTTATCACCAAGCAAATGCCATAACAGAAACGGTCCCCTGATGTAAAGAAATGGCCCGGGAACGTGCTTATTTATAAGGGGAACACCAATTTGGTTTTTAAAAATATATACGTATCATGAAAGTCAATAATTGGTTTATGAACATATCTCTGCATTAGAGAGATAGCAAGGAATGTGATAAAACTGAAGTCCGGATGTAGGTTGTGAAAATCCATATATTTTTTTTATTTGTGTTATTCATGTATTTTCCCAGGTCATTCAACTGGTGGGATTGCTTTTCTAGTTGTTGCCACCTAGCCCCTCTTTGCTAGGGATTTTTAAGATTGTATCATTCGCTTAGTTCATTAGTGGGTTTCTTTGTCTCTGCCTTTTGAGATAAATGAGCAGTACAAGATAGAAGAAAGCTTAATCTGAAGGCCCAATATTCATATAAGAGACTGTCTTGAAAATGCTGTTCTCTTTTGACTTCTAATGTACTCTTCACCTATGCCAAGTGGAGCTATGAATAATCACTAAATTTAAAAGTCTGTTAAACATTGCTTCTAGCAATTTTTAAAGAGAATCTTTTAAAAAAAAAAACACAAACCTTCAGGTAAAGTAGGGGGAAACGTTTTAGGAGAAATGAAAAGATCAAGATTTGTTAGGCTAAATTCTAGGAATGCTGTACCTGATGGTAGGTGCTGTCTATAATCTAGTCAATAGTTTAGGACCTGAATTTTCTGTTTTACGCCAATTTCTTCTTTTCCCGCTTACCTGAATGACCTTGATTTCATTTAGCTTCTGTTTTAGTTTTAATCTTCACATTTGAACATGCCCACCAGTGTGATTTCTATAAGCAGAAATTGTGTTAAGGTCTACCTTGGTGTGAATCAGCCCTTAGGGAATTTAGGTGACCTCATATAACCCTTTCTTCTACACAAAGTTTCCTCTCCATTTTGTCCAGATCAGTATAAAACCTATTCCCTAAGACTTAGTCCCAGAAGCCAGCTTGAGATTTGTTTATTTGCAAGTTTGTAGGTACTGAGCCAAGACGTAAGGAGATGACCAAAAAGGGCACTTAGCCCAATCAGAGCCTTACAAGGACTGAATGGAGTACATTTTTGGATGAATGGAGATCTCATCTATCTTATGTTTCACATGTTTCTTCATAGAAAGCTACCCTGGTTGAGCATGGAATCCGGCGCCTTACTTTCCTGGTTGCACAAAAGGTATTGGCATGTGAATTATACCTCTCTAATGTTTCTTATGCTGCTGCTGCTGCTGCTGCTGCTAAATTTTTTTTTAATAAAATAAATGGAATTATAATCATATGCTTACTTGTAGAATTTATGCAGAGAAATAGCTGTTTTTCTGTAAATTTAATTAAGAAAAACATGACTTTAAGTTATCACCTTGTACTTAATTTTGTTTTAATTTTATTACTAATTGCCAGCTTCTGCTGTTTTTCCTTCCTTTCTGTCTTTCATTTGAAAGGATTTCAGAAAACAGATCAGCTATGAGGTGGATCAGAGATTTCATGTAAGTAAAAGGAACAATAATGAAAGATTACTTACTGTTTTATCCGTTTGCCACTGACCATTTAAATGTAGAATGCATGTGAGTTATTATAGTTAGAAAGGCTGGGCTGACGTTTGGTCCCTCTTCTTTTAGAAAGTATTATAATGAATATTCAATTATTCTATAGTGTTCAAGCTAAAGTTTTTTTTTTACACTATAACAAATTCTCAATAAATCTCTGAGAAATAGTTAAGAATGAGCATATGCATTTATCTAGATGAATAAGGTAGAAGCAGCAGCCAACTAGTAATTTCTTCTGCACGTACAGAGAATCAATAATTAAGAACTGCCATTTGTATTTTGGGGTCTTGACTTTTACCAAAGATGGCTTCAAGTTCTATTATTGAGAATTTTCAATTCTGAAAAACAATCATTTATTATTTAAAATGACTTAACAGAGCCCAAGTTGGTACTTTTGTCTCATGTTAATTCTAGGAGCAGGAAATAACTAAGAATTGAGCATTACAGCTGCTTGTTCTCCCATTTAGCTGAATTAACCGTTAATATTTATAACGTTGAAAATTTTATTGAAAGGAGAAATAAGTCATTAGCTTGGCATCTAAACTATGGCATACCCATGTGCTCATACCCAGTATGATGATAGCAATAAGGCCAAATATTCAGTTTGCAATCAAGATACCATTCCCTAAAATGATTGTAACCAAAATATTTCTTTAAAAATTGATCCTAATGTAGCTAAGATTCCAGAGGATATTAGGAAATCTTAGTTTTCCCAATAAGAATTCAATTTTGTTTCTGTTTTAGCAATTAAGATAATTAAGTTAGTTTTCAAGCCCTATTCATTTGCAGTAATGAAGATAACATTTGGGATTCTGGAAAGGCCTTTCTAAACTCAAGGACCTATGTGTGGTTGCTTTTGTTTATTAGGTCTCTAGTACTTGACATTTTGTTTTCCTTCTTACAGTTCACCTTGTTGGTCTAGTCTGTAGAGAAATGAGAGCCTGCTCTGCAAACTAAAGAGCTAAGATTTTCTGAAACGCTTTAGGAAATGTTGTGAACCGCACAGCCCCCCCCCTGTGTTATTGATGCCTGAAAATCAAGCAGAGTACAGATACATATCAATCAATAACTTTAGATAGGAAACTGGAGGCAGTAAAGAAGTATGAGGAGCTTAAAGAGAACCCTGGGGCTTTAGGAAGAAAAATCCGGAGCTTAGAGAATAAAATTGATACTTGGGGTTGGGATATGAGAGCCCATGAATAAACACTATGGCTGGTAGGTGCTGATCAGAAAGAACTAAGGTCGACATGCCAGAGCTGGACCCTGGCTTTGGGAAGAGTATTGGGCTAGGTTCTTAAGCATTACTGTGATTTTTTTTCTTACTGACTTTGGAGTAATATATTATTCTTCATATAGCATACTAATTGGTTTCCTATACTAAGCATTCCATGGTAAATTAAAACTCTCTACTAAAATTTTTTAAAAGCCAAAGCAATTAATGGGCATTTTTTTTGGGTATGTGTTTTATACATACAAAAAACCCCTCCTTTCTTATCTTTGGATCTATGTCATGCCCTAGAGGATATCTACAACTTAAAACTCCTTTGTTTCTCCCTGCTATCCTCATATTTCTGGATTTAGTTTGAATAGGGACATGTACAGGCAAAATCTTCTAGGAAATGAGCTCAGCAGCGAGCTCTTCCCGGGAATCACTGTCCACAGCCTATTTATAGTGGCATCAAGTGGGAAATCAGTTATATTCGCAAGTGACTTGATGTGTCACGAGTGTAGGAAAGGTTGCTTTAAGACATAGAGAAATTAAGGTTTAGGTGTAGACTGGATTTTCTCTGAAGACCGAATGGCAGAGGAGTTGAGGTGTTTTTATTTTAGGCCACTTAGAAATGATTCATGGTTACACAGCGGGCAAGGGCAACCGTTACTGAATTCCATCCAGGATCTACACTAGGCAGGACGCCGTGGCAGGAGTTGTACAAATCCAGGGCTCACTGTCATGGTGCTGCTCTAAGGTCCTCTGCTGGTAGTAGCTTGCCTTTCCTGAAGGATGCTTAGCCTCTGTCATGTCATCTGATGTGTGCTTGCCCCACAGTTAGTGGAGTGTGAAAAAGAGGAAGCTTTCTGTGAGTGTTAGAGGTGAATCCCTTGATCCCTCTGGCTTCCTGGTAATCCACTGTGATGTATGCAGTCTCCCCTGTTCCACACTGTGAAATCCCTATATTACTGAATAGAAAGAGAAGGCGTATATTCTCAAGGAGAGGAGGAAGGTTACCAAGCTTGGTTCAAGAACAACATTGGCTGGTGTGGAATGAAGCTGTGCCGTTATGTAGTCGTCTCTCAGACAGCTTCCGAACCAGAACAAGGCAAACGAGGGCCAGAGCACAGGTTCCTAGAGACTGTGCATATTGCTAGATATGCCTTCAGTGGCCAGTGAAGGCTAGAAGCATTTCTAAAGCTTCAGTGGTTAAACTCCGCGGTCCCTAGAGAGCTGTCCACAGGCATGCCTGCTGCTTAGTTTCTTGACTCTATAGGGAGACTGTTCTTCTGAGCGGGCAATGTTCACCAGCATTAAGGAGGCTTGGTGTCAAGTCCGTTTCCATCACCATCTAATTAAATCAAGTACCTATAATGGGATTTGAATAACTGCTTTTTCTTTTGCTGAGGGGATAAGTGTTTATTTTAAAAGCATAATTTGTATAGTTTATACATTGTTATCCAGATACCACTGTCTTCTTGTTAAACTATGTTTTTGATGAAAAAAAAGATAAATTGAAATTATTTAATGCTATTTTATAATTCAGATTTACCAATTCAAAATCACATCTGTTCAGATGAGTGAGACTTTACTAAATGCTAGGATAGAACTATATACCTAATAACATTAATTCTGAGACCTCATAACATTATTAAATATATAAAATAAAATAACTTCTCATATTAGGAATAACACTGTGGATCTTCTCATATTCCAGCAGCAGAGATAAAAATATTTTTTAGCATATTGCTGAATGGATCACAATGAAAGAAAATAGACATATTCTTTTAACATTTGGGGCCGAAAAATCTACAAATTCCAGGATAAATGGTCTCATTCATTTCTATGAAAAATCAAAAATGTTTAAAAAAACTTTAAAGAATATCTTTAGAATATGTTTATAACTACTCCACCATTCTTGACCAGAAATCTCAATAACTGCTTAACATTGATATTTAAACAGAAAGCTTGAGGATAAACAAGCCTATTCTTATAAATATCTCCTTCATTTAAAAGAAAAATGGAAGCCTTCAAAGCAAAAGAACGGGCTCTTTGAATTTCTGCAGCTACATAAGGCGCAGTTCCCTAATTTCATGTAGTATTAAGTCTGTTAGTTTCATTCATATTTCAGGTTCCAAAAAGTACAGCAGAAGATGCTGGTTAATTGGAATATAAGTATTATATTTTTTGAAGCTTTCCATATTTTTTTCATCCAAGTTTTGTTAAGGATACTTAAATGTATGTTTTCAGGATTTCTTCTTATCCTTTGAGCAAAAGCGCCTTAGCAAAAGCATTAGGTCCAAAAACTGTGATGAGATTCTAAATCAGTTTTGCATCTGTTAAGTTTCATTTTGTTTCTTGTTTGTAAGATTTCATGAGATTTTTTTAAAGTCTGCCATAAATCACCTAGGAGATATTTGTAGTTTTACTGATTGTATGTGAATGACTCCCACTTTAAAATTAAATGTTTTGGATTATCTGGGCCTGAAGGAAGACCCCACTATTGAAACAGTTATGGTTAATAGTTCATTTCTTTAAAAAAAAATTGATATGTCAATTATATCTCAATAAAGCTGAAAAAAATTGGTAGTTCTGTTTGCTAGTGGATCAACTTAGTTTCTCTGAAGGTTTGGTTTGGATTTTTGTTTTAATTACAGTCTATATAATTAGTTCTCAGCATGTTGAGGTAAAAGAGAATTGCACCAGCAAGCTTTCAATTTCTTCATCTCATTAGGTTTTTAACACGATTATTAGTATCATAATCAGCTATGATGTTTTCTGATGCAGGTTTTCACATTCTTTGATTTGCAGGGTGTCTTGATTGGCTAATTTAGGCAAATTATTTTGATTGTCTTGATGATGGTTGGCTGATTAGAACACAGCAGGGGTATAATTTCTTCCTGAGAAATGTTGCATTCTTTTGTTTTTTGGTATCAGAACACTAAGAGGGTTTTTCTTTTGTGTACATTCAATTATGATATTTGCCCATAACACTAGTAGAATGCTTGGAAAGCAATTACATTAGTGACAGAATAAGCATGAATGCTGTTAGTGGAAAAATTGGCAGTATGAGGATGAGGTAGGACGAAGGAATTTACTAAAAGTATAGTAAATTTACCATAACTATAGTTTTCTGTGTTTCTGTGATTTTTGAGTGCCAAAAGAGGTAACTTTCTATAAAAGTCCTTGAAGACTTGAAGAATTGCTCATTAATTCCTGCTTTCCCATTTCACAGAAGTTATTGCCATCTCCTGTTCTGAACGCTTCATGCTTAAACTCAGGACTTTCCTGTGAAGCTAAAAATTTATTCAAAAGTTTTAAAAAGTTTGCATATAACATCTTAGCTAACCTTAATGAAAGTGGTTTTTCTGACTGGTGGTCTTTCCCACCTCTGCCAAGAATTAGTCAGTCTCTTTCATTATCTGTAGTAAAGGTATTTCCATTCAGATCGTTTGCTTTTCATGCCTTTCAGTTACTCCAAATTTTATTAATTAGCTCAGTGGTAAAGAAAGCTGGTTTTTTGGTTACTATTGTTATGTTTTTGAAGGAAAATGATTTTGGTCCTACAATTGTACACACTTGAATAAACTGTGTACTAAATAAAGATTTTAGTTTATTAGTACTTAAGGCATAATAGAAGAATGTGTGCTTACAAGATTGTTTTATCACTTTCCCTGACTTCTTTGAGAAAATTTCATGGAAGGATTTTTTTACCCTTCCTTTTTTTGACTTCTGTTACTTTTTTAGCTAATGCTCTGAAAGCCATACCTCTCAAGAATAAAACCAAAACTAGAGTGTATAAAGCCCTGAATACCTGACAGTGCCGTTGAACATCTTGTCTAACCTTGAAGTCCTCCCCATGTTCTTCGCTGTCATTCAGGGATGTTAGAGAATTATTTAGAACAAAAACATCATCAGTAAAAGATCAGTGCTGTGTAAAATTCACTTTCAAGGGGCTTTTAAAGACCCAGGCCTGGACAAGGGGTTTCCCAGGCTTGCTAAACAAGCTCCTAGAACTCTGTTAAATGCAGTTTTACAGTTAAAATGCCAAGGAAAATGTAAGGAGATTTATTAACTGTGCAAGCTGCAGTGAAGGTGAGGTGTAATACCTGTGGAAAGGATTCGAGAAGTTCTCAGTAAATTCAAAACCACAAGTTTTCAACATGAGTTTTGTTTGTTTTTTGCTTTCTTTTTTTTTTTAAGTTTTAGTTTCTGTTTTTTGTCTCATCAAAGAGAAGTTCTCTAAATAAGGATTTGGTTTAGAGCAAGAATAGAAAGGTAATTCCCTACATTTGAGAGGTAAGAGTGGTAGGGATGAAAGGGCATGGGCTCTGGCACTAGAGAAACCCAAGTTCATGTTCTGGCTTTATGATCCTGGGCATATCACGTGGTGCCTTCCTCAGCTGTAATCTAGGTTACCTACCTTCAGAGGTTGTTGAGAGCATTTGAGGGGACAACACATGAGAGCACCTGCCACCTAGAAGGCTTTCATTTCAGTTCATGTTTCCGTCATGGTTTCTAAAGCTCATTGAGGGATATTTAGGCAGCTAGTCCTTGCCTCTCTGCCTGGTAAGTGATTATATTGCTCTCATAATGAAGAAGATGCCTAATGAAACCTCCTATAGAGGCAAATAGTAATGACTTGATTCCAATGCTGCCAGTAGAGCTTCCCATCCGAGAAACAGGGGTATTTGGTGTTAATAAGTTAAATTTCAGAAACTAATGGACTCTGCTAATTGAATTCATCTTTGTTAATTAATAAGGTTCTAGTAAATTGGCTGCTTTCTTTTGTAATGCCCTGCAAAAGAGCGGTAAGACCAAATGATTCCAAGTTCACTAGTTCCACCCCACTCTTTCCTATACGCATAATGGTAGTGACCAAAGTAACATTTTGTACTTTTCTTTGTCTTGAAACATTATTGTTTAAACCCTTGAAATTATTGACTTTAGAGTGAATGTGGAAAAAACATGGATTGAGGATTCTATGCTTCCTGGCTAGTTTACATTTTAAGAGTTTCTTAAGGAGAAACTTGGGAAATCAATCCAGTATCTACTACTGCAATGCCGTAGCATGAGTGTCCATTGTTTTATTTGCCAGGTTGTGCCAGGAGCAACACCAGGAAGATTTTTTTTTTTTTTACTTGGGAGATGAAAAAAATACAGAATTTTTTTTCCCCCCCAAGGAGAGGATAGCGATTGAAGTTAGGTTAGTAGTGTAATGATTCTCAAATTTGCAAGTGGGGTCAAAATGATGATTACCCAGAGGATTATTCATAGTCCCTGGGCTCAGCTTAGGTAAGGAGCATGTTTTCTAGGAAACGGCCTTGTAGATACTTGACTGCTTCTGTACTATGTGTTTATCCCCAAAGAGCCATAGCTATGAAGGACTGATACATTTCCCCCTTCTTTTAACACAGAGAGAATTCCCTAAATTTTTCACGTTCCGAGCAAGGGATAAGGTAAGAACTGATTCTTTCCCTTTTTTTTTTTTATTTTTTTTTCTTTTTTCTGAAAAGCCCAAGAGTGGCTAATCTTTGCCATCTGCTCTTCTTGCCACTTTTTCCCTCCAGTTGAACTTGTGCTTCCCTTTGCCACACATGTGTCTTAGAACCAAAGAAAACTCCCCCCTGAAAGAGTTTGGTGTAAGAAAGAAATGTATTGACTTACTCAAAGAAAGCAACAACTTTCAAAATCATCCTTATGCTTTAGGATGATCCTAATGATGTAATATTAAAGGACTATTATACTTAGTAGGATGATTCTTGTCACCTACAGACAGTTCATTTATATTCATTTTGTTTATGTGCATTCGTTTTTCAATTTTAAAGTACAAAATTTCAGACCATGTTGGTTTTTTTCTTTTTACCAGTTTATATTTTTGGTGCTCTCTCTCCATTCCCTCAGTTGACATGTACTCTTGGAAAATTTTAGTTTCAACAAAACATACAGTAAATGTTAGTACAACTCTTTAAAAAGATATATAAAGAATTATATATCTATGGATATAGTATGCTCCAAAGCCAGACATCTCCATTTTTAAAAAGGATGTTTATTTGTCAAGTATTTACTATGTCCTTTGTACTGTGCCAGAAATGGCAAGAGTATAAGACATGGGTTTTGCCCATAAGCGTTTTAGACTAGTTGGGTAAACCCAAAACACTGGTCTGGGAGTGAAGTAGTTGTTAATGTGAAGCAGTTTATAGTCAATTATAAAAAAATGAATTATAAAGATATTAAATGATACAGGTGTTCTGAGGGAATTGATGTTTTTTGTTTGTTTATTTTTAATGGAGAGCATCACCACTTGTGAAAGCATAAATGATGAAATGATAAAAGCTTCCATAAAAAGGTACTTTAGTGCCTAATCTTATGTAAGTTGTAGCATTATCCTTATAGGTAGCTCATTTTTCCTATTCGTTAGCACACCATAGCTTATGTTTTTCTGTTTTTAAGCATCTTTTTAACATACACAGTCATAATATAATTTTGTAACTGCCTCTTGTGAGCTTTTTTTTTTTTCTCTAATTCTTGTCCTTAGTTTGAGGAGGATCGTATCTATCGTCACTTGGAGCCGGCCCTTGCTTTCCAGTTAGAGCTGAACCGGATGAGAAATTTTGACCTTACTGCAATTCCATGTGCCAATCACAAGATGCACCTGTATCTTGGGGCAGCCAAGGTGGAAGTGGGCACAGAAGTGACAGACTACAGGTTCTTTGTCCGTGCAATCATCAGACATTCTGATCTGGTCACCAAGGTGGGTGCTGTACTTTAATAGGAAATGATCCCTGAAGGGAAAGATAGAGGAACAGGCATGGTTCAAAGTCAGGTTTTCATTGTTTGAACCAAAGCTCTTTGCGCTTTCTCATCTCACTCTCTAATAACCAGCAGAAGTCAGAGTTATTGCTCTCACAGAAGTAAATAGTCCATAAAATAAAGGGGTTTTTTTCCCTTTCATTTGATTTTTCTTGGTACCGATAGCACTCACTTGAGAAAAGGAAAAGCATATGAACAGAAAAACCACAGGAAGAGTTAGGTGATGATCGAGGATAAGGAGAAAAGTTAGAGGTAACCCCACTGGAAACCTGTCCAGAGGTAGGGTGGCTTCTGTACATAGCAAGACACCTCCTGGTATGTTAGTTATTACTGCGTCCCATAGCCATAACCCTTCTTCAGCTTTTCCTTTCTAAACAGATTTCCTTTCTAAGCTGCTCTGTTTGGCATATGTGAGATGTAACCCTACTGGGGTCCCAGCTCTGGGGATGTCTGGCATCTCCACCTATTGGAAGGAAATAATATACTAAGAGGCAGGGGGCGGGGCTGCAGGAAGTCTTTATCTGACCCTTGCTGCCCCTCTGCCTGTGGTTATTGGGCTGACTAGGGAGAAAGGTAAATAACATCTGTAGCAGGTGCCTTATGATTCAAGACATACGACTGCTTAAGTGATTATAATAGCTATTTCTTTATTGCCTCTTTTAAAACACATTCATGTTGATGGTGATTTCCTGCCTAGGAAGCTTCTTTTGAATATCTGCAAAATGAAGGGGAGCGGCTGCTCCTGGAAGCCATGGACGAGCTGGAAGTCGCTTTTAACAATACAAATGTCCGTACCGACTGCAACCACATCTTCCTCAACTTTGTCCCCACAGTCATCATGGACCCATCAAAGGTACATTTCTCCTTAGTGTCTCTCCCAGCACTAGCAAACAGAAGCAGGGAGAGTCATTCATATTTCTTTGCTCTTGGACCTGAAAACAGGTTCTCTTGATCAGCACGTTGAGCCCTTGACCTTTAAAGTTTACAGAATGCTTGTAAGACTGGGTTTCTGGGAGGTGTCAAAAATGGGATATAGCCACTAAAAGCAGACCTCAAAACTGAAGGTGGTATGATGTTATCTTGCTACTCATCTACGAACAGTACAAAAGCATAAAACCTCTTTCTCTTCTTCCATTGGTACCTGTTTTACGGTATTTGGCATGATAGCGGTACTATGTTATATAATCCCCTAGAATTTCTCCTTTAGAATAATTAACTTTGCTATGTTTGGGCATTTTGATAAAATTAGTGCCTCTATGTACTAAATGTTACTTATCTGTTGGCCTTATGGAGGTAATGCACCTTCCCAAAGCGCCTAACTTATTTCTCTTCAGTATTTTTCCACAAGGAGAGAATTTGGCTGATAAGGAATTTCACATGTATTATGTATGTTTTCTTCCCCAAGGCTCTATTCTAAAATGCATTTCATATAATTCAAGGGAGGAAAACAAGGTGATTCTGTACTTGACCTTTTATCCCAGGTGTAATAAAGATAGGCTGCTCTCTGATTTCCTCTCACCTTTTCCTATCATGACATTGTGGAATTCGGATAGGGGAACCAGTATATCCCTTTCTCAAAATCAATTGTAGGCATGGACTTTTGCTTTTTGAACTTAGTATCTAAGACCTGAGAAACCGTTTTCTACGTTTTTTCTTCAAGTCTCCAAGCTACTGATCAGTGGCGTTAGTCTGTCAGGAAAGCCAAAGACAGGGCTGCTCACTGAGTTTCAAGTCTCATCATGTAGTTTAAGCAAAGGTTCTCCTGAGCATTCCAGAACCGATGAAGCTAAATTAGATTTAGAACTTGGCCTGGATACTATATCACTGTATATATTTTTACATTTAACTTACCATTTCTCATTGAGATATCAGCCTCTCTGTTCTACTCCAAATACTCATGTACTCTGGCTCTGCCTTTTTAATCATAGATGGCTCTTCATTTCCTATATAAAGAGATTGCTGACTTTTGTTCCCTTGAGAAAAAAAAAATGGATAGATATCTCTTGGTTAACCAGCAAGTTTGGGAATAGAGACGTTAGCTCCTTGAAACCCATTTTAACCTAAAATTCTCTGGTGCAGAAACATACTGCAAGGGTGGCACATACTTCTGAAGAATCACAAGAGAAGGGTGGTTTGAGATATTTGTGAGATTTTCTAAGTTGAGAAAGCATTTTAGAAAGATGCTTCATTTAAGAAAACACTAACTTTGAACAGTATGTCTTAGCTGCCTGCAGCCTTTTGGAAAAAATGTTTTTGCTTTAGTATGTCAAGAAGGAGAAATCACATCTAAGACCATTTGGTTACAATAAGCCACCTAACCCTGAAAACTAGAAGCACTAAGCTGCCTTGGTATAAAGCTTAGAGAAACTAGGGAACATCTGCTTTATATACTTAAATCCCAGTTTGACTTGGCAATGACCAAGCTTCAAAGCTCAGTTTAGAGAGAACATTCTAGCACCACCTACCAATTGCCTATTTTTAATTTGTACAGTTTACTAAGAAACATATATTATAAAGTTTAATAGAAATGTGTGGAAAAAAGCTCATGGTGGTAATTGCTCTGTTGATTTAAAGTCCTGTAAGTACAATGAAACATAGTTACCATGCATATAAATGCTACTTATAGCTGTTTAACTAGAGATTTTATTCTTATTTGGGGCTTTCTCTTAAATCTCATAGCTTGTAATTTTAGATATTGCATGTCTTTGTTATAGAGTATGAATATAATTGGGAAAGGGGAAGGGAGTTGCACGGATTTGGATGTTGTGAGCCATAGAAAACCACTCAAATGATATGCCACCATGAAATTGTCCCTGACTTGTTCTAAGCAAGAGCAGGGATGGGGAGAAACTATGGGACTTTTTGTAAGAAATACATGTAGTACACGCCTCTAGAAACCAGCATCTTTTTCCATTCCTGCTTTCCTAAAAATGGGCAGATCTGAAACAGTTCCTAGTTACAAGGTACTTAACTTTCGTGCTTGGTGATGTGTCTGTGTCAGATTGAGGAATCTGTGCGAAGCATGGTAATGCGCTATGGAAGTCGGCTGTGGAAATTACGCGTCCTCCAGGCAGAACTGAAAATCAACATTCGCCTGACACCAACTGGAAAAGCAATTCCCATCCGCCTCTTCCTGACAAACGAGTCTGGCTATTACTTGGACATCAGCCTGTACAAGGAAGTGACTGACTCCAGGACAGCACAGGTACAGTGGTCAAGCAGGCTCCTCCAAGTTTCGATTCGGTCCCACAGATAAGCCACTTGCCCTTGTTATGGAAGACCCCAATTCATAAATCCCATCGGTTCACCTAGTGGGGTTGTCCTCTGTCAGCTGAAATGATTTCATGAATTAGAAAAACTTCATTTGCCTCATAAAATGTGCCTATGTTCCTAATCATGGGTGTCACAAAACCTTCAGCCTTTTTGTCATGTATTGGTGTGCCCTAACAGATGCCAAGTGACCGGAACTCCAGAGGTAATTGTGTAATTTAGGGCACTCTTAGAAAGCTCTTGGGCTACTTAAGCAATCTTGTCTTTTCTGATGTGATTTGTCCTTCCTGTTTTCAGCCTAGTTAGACCACTCACTGGCAAGTAAGAGGAAAATTGTTGGAATATGTCACCAACTTTTCTACCTTAAGAAGGAAAATTTCAACATAATATAGCTTGGGCAAGATCAAGCAGTGACTTTATCATATTTACCCATTATGTTATTCCATTTACACACATCTGTTCCTTCAAAGAGTTCAAAATATTATATAGCTATAAAAGAGCAAAATGACAAACTTTATCCTATTTTACAGGTAGAAAAATCGAGACTGTGAAACTGGAAAGTGACTTTTTTAGTAGATTGGTTCTATGATAACAGATAATTTCTTTTTAATCTGTTTTACCATGTTAGTTTCTAAATATTTGGGCCATTTGCCGTGATGCTGGATTTAGGTTGGTCCATCATGCTCGCAGCTTTTTAAGAACTGGGATGTTATTTCAGGTCTTTGGCCTGAACTGAGGAAGTGCATTTCTTGTGGTTAAAGGATGAACTGACTCCAGTATGTGTACACAAAGTTTTCAGTCTGTTCTATGCATTGGATGCCAGGAAGAGATTATATGTCTCTTGTTTTTATCTATGTCCTTTTAAATCTGGGAACAGAAGTAAGAAAAAACATTTTTGCCAGTACTTTGAAGATGAATTTTTTAAATCTGAGTTTGGATAGCTGTCAGAGTGACCTTTCCTTTTGTGCTTTGATTCCCAGTTAGATGGCTAGAGAAATCTATCCCGAGAGAAGTGAACAGTTAAAGCAGAGAGAGAGAGAAAGAGAGAGAGAGAAGTGTGTAAGAGCACAAGGGGTGAGCAAGAGAAAGAGTATTCAATAATTTTTGCTGCATTTGGTATTTTTCAGGGCAACCTTAAAGACATTTTCAGCCAAAGCTTTCCTTGGGTAGGGATGTTTTTAATTAACTTCTACAATGGCTTCAAGGCAGGTCTAGTCTTGTGAAAAATAAGATGGCCACTTGAGATTTCAGCGTTTATGATAAATAAGTTTGTTCTTCATAACTACTATTATTTTCCTTTTTTTTTATTTTTTATTAGAAAGCTCTTAGATTTCCCTCATGCTGGCTAGTGGTGGCACAGGCATGAATGGTGCAGATGGCTTCCATCAGGGGCTCGTACTAAGCCTGGCACAAAATAAGCACTCAATAAGTATCTGAAAGAATGAATGAGCTACCTGTAGCCTGAGGAAGAACACCTTTTACCAGGGGTCCTGCCTATTTAGGAAGCCCTGAAGGGAGAGGTCCCCCTCAGGCTCCTCAGCTGAGAGAGTTCAACAGCTGCTGCCACATGTGAGCTGAAGGGCCCTTGGCTGCAGGAGGGACCCACAAGAAAAACAGCCTCTGACTTAGTGCTGGCACTCCTGATGCCTGCCTGATGCTTTTTGCCAATTTGATTTTTCCCTTTCTTGGCTCTAGTGAGTCATTATGTAAATTTAAGATGATATAGAACCACGTGTATCATTCATTCATTTGTTCATTAATTTAACACTTATTAACCACCTATTGTGTGTCAGGCAGTATGGATACAGAGATGAAAAGTGGTCTCGATTCTCAAGAAATTTACATCATTATGGAAGAAGACAGATAATTAGTTTCTCTGTAGTAGGATTATGATTCTGTCATCATAGGGTTCTACCATCATCACAGGGTTCTAAGGGAACAGACTGTGTGGGATCAGAGATTGTTTTCCAAGACAAGCTCTTGATAGCATCTGGTTCAAGGTGTGTGATATATGAAATGTGTACATATTTTATGAACTTGGAAAATGTATGCTTGACCAATTTTTAATTATGATGTCCAGTATAGTAGAAAATGGAATTAACATAGATAGCTGATGATTCGGAGGCTTCCAATACTACCTATCAGCCTCTTGCTCCAGGACATCATTTATTCTTTCTGCCAATAAGGAGCAAGGGTGACTGGCTTGAATTTCATTCTGTTTCATTTTCCTTGTATAGTCTGTGGTATTAGCTGTAATGAATGCTCATGTCAGGCAGTTATAGTGGGGAAAAGAGATTTGGGTATTCCATTGCGTAAGTCAATTGATTTCCAATGTATGGCGTAAGGGAGAAATATACATTTTAAAATCGCCTTTATTAAGATACAATTTACATGTAATAAAATGCACTCATTTCATGTATACAGATCAGTTCATTCTGAAATTGTATTCACCTGTGTACCACCATCACAGTCATGATGAAGAACATCTTAACACTCCCAAAAGTTCTCTTGTGAGTCCAGTTCTTTCATACTAACACCCTGGCATCACTTCACACTTTGAGTCTCTTAAAACATCACTATTTCTACCTCTGACATGCCTAAGACATTGCGAATTCTGCCTTCAACCTGGTGACTTTCACTGTTGGTCCAATGGAAGAGGACTGGGAACTCTATTCTTTGGGGTTTTGAGCAGGACAAGACAAATTTTGCCTGATAGGGCTGACTAACCATTCAGCAGAACACATTTGTTCCTCTGATCTAAGGGACTAAGGGTTCACTTAGCTGGACTATACCCAGGGGAGTTAAGCATTTAATTCTCTTCTTATGCCTGTGTAGCAGGTCCACAAGTCTATTCATTAATGGTAGACTTAAGCTTATATGTTTTAGGCTTCAGTAGCTATGGTAGATACATATACCCTTACATCAAAATCTCCATTTGTTTCCACTGCATTGTGAATCTATATTTTATATATTCATGCATAAAGTGCCTAGTTTAGTGTCATACAACCTCTGGGCACTCGATAAATATTAATTGACTTGAAATAATGGCCTACCTTATAAATATTGATAAGCAAATAAAACTAAGTATATGGAGTATGAAGTACTCTTATAGAAATATTTAAGTTAAAATGATTAAAAACTAGTGTAATTTTATTTGACAGTGTAAGTACTGTAGGAGCTATTCACTAGTAGACATACTGTACTGGTGGAAATATATGTATATATATTATATATATAATTTAATAAAATATATTTCTTTCACTATACATTATGTCTTTTAAGATAACAAGAATTGTCTAGCTAGATGGGTGGATGAAGTCCACTTGTGGCAGAAATCTTTGAAGCCTTTGTAAGTAATACTTATGAAACACCATCTAATCAAATAGACTAAGGCAGATGATATGGTAGAACCTTGATCTGGCCTTCTGCTGTTGGGAAAAGAACAGAATTCTCTTCAGTGCACTGCTATTCCTCAACTTAAATACTAGTAGCACGGCTCAGACTGGTTAGTTGACATTCTCTGTTTCTAAATATGTGAGATTCAAGTCAGTTTAGAAGGCAAGCATTGTCTCCCTGTCTCTGAAATGTGAAATTTACACTGTGCTTTCTTTTTTATTTCAACTAATCCAAAGGTGAGTGCAGCCTATGGTATACTGTTGGTTACATACCATTTTTTTGCGGTTGGTTAATCTATAGAGAGGTGAGAGCACCATGTACCCAATGTTAAGCCTATCTTAGCTACTCAACCAAAAATGTTTCAAGAAATAACATTTGTGAAAAAAGCCCCTCTAGGCAGCTATCTGATTTTTTTTCTCTGTCTCAATTCCCTAATGCCATCCTCTTTTCCCTGCAGATCATGTTTCAGGCATATGGAGACAAACAGGGACCATTGCATGGGATGTTAATCAACACTCCATATGTGACCAAAGATCTGCTTCAATCAAAGAGGTTCCAAGCACAATCCTTAGGGACCACATACATCTATGATATCCCAGAGATGTTTCGACAGGTAAAGGTGGTTAACTGGAGGGCTCTGACATGTTCCAAAGAGGCAAGGTTTTCTTGAATTTCCATCAGATGCAGCTTAGACTTGAATGGGGGCACTCCCAAAAGGCAGGAAGTATCTTGACACTATCTATCTCATTTGGTATTTGGTGACTGCCAACTTAGATGTTGGATAGTTCTTCATGAATGATAGAAGCCTCCATTGAGTAGAAGAGAGTAAACTGAGACCGCATGCCTTTGATGGTAGTTTACAATGACCTGTGTGAACAGTTATGTTCAGGTATGTATTTCCTAAGGTTACATTCAAATTATGGATATTAAAGAGGTTTGAAACTCTAGTTCTTATTTTTCTATTTTCCAAGATAACCCAGGCCTCTACCTGATAGCCTAGGTTAATATGATGAGAATCAATATAGATAACATATACAAATGGATATACAGTTCATGGTACACAGTTTAAAGTATCAGTTCTTTTGTGGGAGATTTATTATAGCTGAATAAAAATTAGCATGAGAAAATATGATATTATGAATCTTATCCTCTGTATGAAAATAAATTCCTTTGATCTGTATGGTGAATCATCTCTATGCTGCAGATTTTTCTTCCATCAATAGAAGGCAAAAAAAGTATATCTTCCAGCAGAAAATTCAGCAGATAAAGAATAAAGTTGATATCAAAAGAATACTGAATTTGTCCTTTAAAAAAAAATCTATGAATATAAGATTTTTTTCAAATCTCCTAGTTAATATCACCAGTAGTATCACATTTGAATTTTACTGAAGTAGTATATGTGGCCTTGGTCAATAGTCTCTATAATTCCTGTATTATTCACAAATTGAAGAGGTTTCCTTATATAACCACTTGTTTACAAGTTTTCTCTCTTGAAACTTAGCTACCTTCATTCGGTGTTACTGGCATTGTTAACCTAAAAGTTGAGTGTTGATTCTGTTTCCACAGTGCCAATGCTATAAATAGAAATCACATTCTATATAATTCTTCCTATACAACAGACATAGACACAGTAATTAGGACATTTGGAATGAATGAGTTACTGTATTTCCTCATGTATAAGATGCACCCTTTATCGAAAAATTTGGGGTCTAAAAACTGGGTGCATCTTATTCAGTGGTTGTAGGGTTTTTTTTACTTGCATTTCCCTCTTTTTTCGCACTTGTTTTTGCGCTCATTGTTGTAGATGTTTTTACTTGCATTTCCCGCTTTTTCACGCTTGTTGTCTTTGCGCTCATTGTTTCGCACTTGTTACCAGTATATTACAGTAGGTTACGTTTTGCCACGTTCTGCCCAGAAATGGCTCAGAAAAGATTTTCGTACAGTGCTGAATTCAAGTTAAGAGTGATCCAGTTTGCAAAGTGAATGGAAATCATGCTGCTGAACGTAAGTGTGGTCCTCCTCCAACTGAGAAAACAATCCGAGACTGGTTATGGGAAGAAGAAACCCTACTGAAAACTCCACGGCAGAAGGCCATGAGAGGCAATATATGAAGACAGTGATTTGTCATCAGACACAGATGAGGACAAGCTAATAGTTGGGAGTTTTGACAGTGATGAGGAGTTGTATGAATTTTATGATGAATAAAACTTGAGTTCAATAATTGTATGTAATACATTTTTTTTTCAAATTTCGGGCCCCAAAATGAAGGTGCGTCTTATACATGGAGAAATACGGTATGTTGCTTTGAGGCAAAGAAACAACTGAACTCATTCCCACTTCATGAGGCATTTGTTTTGGTAATATGAAGTTGACAATGGAAATCATTATGGTTTTTAAGTGGATAGGTATATCCATCTATTTACTCAAGTTGGAACAGAATTGACTTGCACATTTACAAATAGTCATACATCTCTAGTGAGCTAATTCCTGTTTGGGGGCCTGTACCTCTGAAAAGATATTAGAAAAAGAATGCTTCTCCTGAACCTCTTGTAGAAACTAGAGGTTTCTTGGGGTTTCTTTGTATCATGTCACTTTCCTGGTTATTCTTCTATTGCCAAGTTTCTCTAGGATTTTTCTTCCTTTTTTAAAGGGAGATTGATGTTAGTTTCTTTTTTAAATTTTCCTGGGATATTTTTAGTTCTTGTGTGGTTTGAATTTGTGCCTGATTTTTGGCAGGTAAAAAACATTATGTGAAAAATAATTACAAATCTATTTTAACTGAAAATGAGAGCTGTAGAATTTGGTCTAATGCTTGAACACTCAGCAGAACCCTTGGAAAAGAAAGAGCAAAAACAGATTGACCAAATCTTTCTATTTATTTTTGTCCATGTTGAAATGCTAATTGTCACTGATTAGTTAAATTTCTCTCCCCCACTAGTCCCTGATCAAGCTCTGGGAGTCTATGTCCACTCAAGCATTCCTTCCATCACCGCCTCTGCCTTCTGACATGCTGACGTATACTGAGCTCGTGTTGGATGATCAAGGCCAACTGGTCCACATGAACAGGCTTCCAGGAGGAAATGAGGCAAGTATCTTATCTCAGTGCCCACTAGTACCAGTTTTTCATGCGGATGGTCATTAAATAGTATTAATTAAGATCCAAGGGGTAGGCAGCATAGTAGTCTCATTGGTAGAATTCTTTAGAGAGAGACCATTGAATACATATCATGGAATTACTGCTTATTTTTTTAGGCGTGATAATGGTATTACATTTTTATAAAGTGATATTACAATTTTGACTTTTAAAAACAAGAACATTGTTTTCTATTAGATATACAGACTAAAATAGTTACAGATGAAATGATCTAATATCTAGGATTCACTTCAAAATAATGGAGGATGAGTATGGATGAAACAAGATTGACCGTAAGTTGGTAATTGAAGCTAGATGGTAGATACATAGGAATAGATTATTTTCTTTATTTTTGTATATGTTTGAAATTTTAAGATTTTTTTCTGTAATAAAAGCATTTAAAGTATTGTTTTGGTTGATATTTTTCCTTAGTTGGTTACCTATTTGTATACTAGTATACATATTTTGGTATGTTTTTTATGCTTAGGTCATTTGATCTAATGCTGTTGTGAGCATGGTCAATATATTTTTCTTAAAGGGGCTCAATCAGAACCTGGGGTTTAAACATAAAAGAAAATATCAGAGAACCCATTTCTGACAGCTCTCCGAGAATGCATTTTTTAGTCTTGGAGTCCTTTCTCCTATAGTGCACTATTCATAATGATATAAAGTCATATGCTACCCCATACCCTATGTCTACCTCCATGCATTGAGGTTCTTCCTGATTTTAAATATACTTCTAATGTATGGTTATAACAGTAATAAACCAAAAAAGAGATATGCTTTTATTTCAACCGTAGATAAATCTCATTCCTTAGAAGCAGTAATCTTTACCTGAGTGTTCACCGATAAACAGGCTGGTTAGACCTTTGGAGGTAATATACATTTTTTTCCCATTTCATGTAGCATCTTTTTCCCCAAAAAAATGTTGCTATATGTGCAAGGTGTATGGCTGTTTCAGTAACTACACCAATAGATGCCAAAAGTAGCTGATTTGGTATTAAGATGGATGCAGTCATTGGACCAGATGGAGAGTATCAGACTTGTAGGAGTTCTTTTAATCTAACGCCTTGACAAATAGCAAAGGCACGAGGTGAGGGAGGAAGGATGCGTAGAATTTTGACGAGAGGAGGTATATACTGATTAACACACTGAGTCGAAGCAGAGGTTTGTGCCACTGTGTGTAGCATATACCTCGTGAGCCCCTCAACAGTAAAGCTTCATTGTGCTAGACTTAAATTCTGATTCATTGAACAGTCTTCGGGAACGGAAGGCACCCTTGTGAACATGGGGCTGAGAGAAAACGGTTTTAACTAATGTAATTAAAACACAAAATGAGATTTTGGGCCACGTGAAAGCTAGCGGCAGTGCTGTGTGAAACCTCTTGCCATGATCTTTCTCTCCTGCTTTCTCTCTGCTCTCATTCTGTGTTTGAGCGAATGGAGACTGGGGGAATAGTGAAGTCCCAGAGGGACAGAGCTCTGTTCTTGCTGAAATTACAAGCACAGAGCTGCCTGGGCATGAACATGTAGTGTTTACTCTGCCAGTATGAATACAAATAGTCTTATTATACGGGACTCTGTACCCACAGACCACACACACACACACACACACACACACACACACACGCACGCGCGCGCACACGCACACACACGCACACACACACACACACACGAGTAAAAAAAAATTAAAGGTTTTTTTTAACCCTTTTAAGACCCAACAAACCTTGGTGGAAAAGACATGTCTTACACTACAGCTGTGACTAGTAGAGTCAGTATGGGAACTTTGTTTCTCTTTCCCCAGTGCTTTAATAATCTTGAAATCCAGAAATCTGATAGTATTTCAAAAAACAATTTTTTGTTTGTTTTTTGTCAGTTCTTACATTCTTCTTGTTCTACTCTTTCCCCTCCTTAGTTGCCTATTTCATTTGTTCTCGTTTCCTTTTCTTCAAATGATTGACTAGGATTGAGGCTGAGCATTAGCTTGCTATTTCGGAGTCTTTGAGCTTGGGAGGAGTGAGACTGACGTCCTTTTGTGAGCAGTGAGTGACTAATGCCCGGGATGGCTGGTGAAGTCAGTCAGTGGTCGGAGCTAGATGATGGGGTACCGCACGACAGGAATGAGGTTGGGGTATTAGTATCAAACTCTGTTACCAATAGCTTGAACATACAATGGAGCATGTCCACTGAGAGACTGACCAATCTAAAGATGGCGTTTCAGCCGTTAGAGCTCTGAGAGACAGCTGTGCCTAAGAGATGACGACATGTCAATAGGATGTATTTCCTCATGCTGAGCCCAGTTTTATCAGGGCAAGTTGACGCTCAGCTATTGCAGTTTAATTTTCTTTGGCCAAAGAGACAAGTTTGTCATGAGCCTGGCACTCTACATATTACCCCAAGAATGATGTGAGGGGAAAGAAAAGAGCTCATGCTGATGAGATTTGGAGCAAATCTGTCCTGTCCCAAAGAGGATGGGCATCTGAACAGAGCCTTGAGAAATAGTTTTATTAAAAAAGGAATAAAAAATGGACGTGTTAATGTTCTGAGAGCCAAGGCTCAATGTAAATGCATTGATGCTACATAGACATTAAATCATTATAATGTGGTGTTCTCCAAAGGTGATGGCTTTACCAGGTCATCATTGTGGGTGATATTGCATTACCTTGAAGGATTGGAGTTTCTGGGTTTAAAAGCTAGCACATGGATATAAGGAATAAAGGTAAAACGAGATCCCTGCAGAGTTTCCCCATGAATTGAGATGCGTTTCCCCATAATCAAAGGCAGAAAACCTGCACTTATCAGACCATCGGCTTTATGGGTGGCCAGTCTTTCTTCCCTATTTTTTTTTTCCGGGACAGTAAATAGGTAAAATGGTGATAGGACCAGGACTTGGAACAATTCAGTTCCATTTAGTTTTAGGTAACTTGTTTGCCATTTGAGGAAGAATATTGGCTGTTTCAGCAGAGATGTGACCTGCATTTTGAACATTGTGCCCGTGTTAGAAGCAGGAGAAAGAGAGCTTTTCTGAGGCAGTGTTAGCTACTCTCTCCTTTATTTTTTCCTAGTTGTCCCTTCGCCATCAAGAAAGATGTAACTGAAGGAATGCCACCTTATGCGTGGTGAAAGGTGTAAGAGAACACATTTTTCTCATTGTCACATTTGAATGGCATTGCGTTTAGTATGAATTTAGAGTAGGAGTAAAAGAGATGTAGGCCACACCTGTGAACTACATTGTTACTTGCAAATAGTGCCCAAGACAAGTTGTCCAGGATTTTCTTTTTTTAATGTTTCAAGTAAAGATAAAAATTGAGAAAAATGTGATTGCAACATAGACTAAACTGATATCATTTCTAGCTGCTGTGATGCTATAGCAATGAGTACTGTGTATACACAGCTAGATGAATGTGTGCTGTTGAGCCTGAATACAAAAGAAATGCAGCTAACCAACAGTTGTACTCTTACCATGTCTCGATTTTGCAGGGATTGTTTTCATTTTCCTGCCAATTTGCTAACAGGTTTTGATCATTTGGTGAAAGCTGTAATTGCAGGTGGGAACATTTTGAGTAACAGTTCACAATCCAGTGCAACTGCTTTTCACACTAAATCCTGTTATTAAAAGGCTCAGGCTTAGATCAAGCCAAGGGCTGTAACAGACCTGACAGAGAACAACTTAACTTTGCCTAGTAGGACAAAAACACTAGCCTTCTTGAGACTGTTCTTATTTGTTCTGGAATGTTACTAGCTTTCTTTTATTATATTTCCTTTAACAGCTCTGTGAACTAGATCACGAATCTCTAAATTGGGCAGTGATGAAAGATATGATAGAGATGCGACTTTTACAGTAATTTTAGTGTGGATAGAAATCAGGACCCTGTTTTCCTCACTGTATCAGAACATGAGCTTTTTAATGAAATGAACCCCTCCATTCCCTCTCGTCACTCCTGTCATGATGAAAAACTGAGATGAGAAAAAAATGCCGTGTTTAGAAGCATTTATAAAAATTAGGTACAAGATGTGCACTCCAAAAGGGATTGGTGGTTAGAGACTGGCATTCTTGCATGTTATTAAATTTTTTTCCTTAAAATTTTTCTGGGAGATAGATATATTCCAAATTGGCTGTAATTTGATGATCACCTGCACACACACTACCACACTTAAGAACTGCAGTGGCTCCAAGGCTTCATTTTTTCTGATGAGCACTAGGTGTCAGGGTTTTTCCTTCTCAGCACCTTAGCATTCAGACGAGCCTCTTCAATTGCCGTTTGGTGAGGCAAATCCAGCAGTATCCTTCCCTTTCCCCCCCCCCCAGTTGTTATGGTAGGCTTTGCCTGGTGTTCCTATAATATGCAATTGCATTTTTAACTCTTTGGGTGGAGATCATGGCTCTATACATTTTTTATAGGAAACGTTTTTTTAGGAAAAAGATCTAGGAGCAAGAAAAGTGGTGTAAATTAAAGGCTAGCCGCCATCGTAACTGGTTTCTTGGTTTCAGTTCTGCTTTATATTCTTGGGGATGAAATGGTGGGAATGGGGGGGATTAGAAATTCAGTTCTAGAGCTGCTCAGCCTTGCCCATATTTAATTGTTAGCAATGTGCTGATGTCTAGTCCACCAAGGCATAAGCGTCTGTAAGTTTTTTATTATAAAATATTTCAAATTTACAGAAAAATATAGAATGATGTGACAAAACCCCTGCATCTACTGACTAGCTTTAACAAATCTTACATTTTGACATGGCTCCTCGCTTACATGTTGCTGTAATCCTTTGAAATCTGTAATTTGAGTATTAAAGAAAAAATTAGGAGTTAGGTAGGGAAAGGAAGTTAGTAAGCTTAAAAGATTGTAAGAAATTAATTAGTAGATCCATTTTGACAGTTCTAGGCTGGACCTCTTAACCCAAAGGACCTCTTATTTTAGAAAAACCACTATAACCCTGTCTTAATTCACTTGGTTG